ATTAACAATTCCTTCCCCCACTCGAATTCCGATGGATTGCAGATTTTGTCTTTAAATTTTGAATTTTAAAAATATATATAAATCTCTCCATTTGGATAAGCCGCCCTCTTTGATAATTATTTACGTTCCTTTAAAGGAATATTTGAATTTTTTTTCAAATTTCAAAAATAAATACAAAATTTTCAAAATAACGTTTTTAATTTTCAAAATTTTGTTTACATTTTAAAAACATTTTTATGAAAAAATAAGGAAATATATGGGTTAAAATAACGGTTACCAGCTTAATAATAAAAAAAAACAAAAAACAAAAAATAAAATGAGCATCCAACACGACTTTAAGAATCGGGAATCAGAAAGACACTTTTCCCAAAAAAATATTTATGTCAAAAATTTCGATGTTATGTGACTAATATGAACTTTAAAAATCTTCTAATATGTCTTATTTTTTATTTATGAGACATTTTTCAACTTTATAAGTCTGTTGGACATAAATTTAATGAATTTTAAAATTTAGAAATCATACGATAGAGACCCGTTAAATATTTTTTAAAGTTAACTTATTTGACATCACTTTTAAAATTGAAAGACGAAACTTGGAATTTAACCTATTTTATTCACACCCTTTCAAAATAATTTGAATTCGTTCTATTCTTTCTAATGTTTTATAAATGGCATAGAAGCGTGGGATTTTATACGCGATTTGACCTTAAATTTTGGTGCCAAAATAGTGTTAATAAAATCATTAAAAAATAATGTTCATAAAATAAATCATAGCCAGAATATAAATGGAAAACTTTTTAAATTCTGCCAAAAGTTCTTTTTTCCCCGTAAAAAAAAAAAAAGTGGGTTTGGATCATAAAATTGGAAAAAATTGTGGTGTAGGTACTTTTTTCCATAGAAATTTAAAAGATTTGTTTCCATTTTAAAATAATATACAGATATGACTTTTGATTCACTTTTTAAGAGAGAAACTTTTAATTGTTTTTTCAAAATTTTAAGAAATTAGCAGAGTTTTTTACTTTAATCTAACTTCTTATATTTAAATTATATATAGTTAATGAAAAATTTATCAAACAAAAGGTTATTTAAATAATAAAAGATTATTTAAAGACATATTATAAATGTTATCTTAAATTTTTAACTTTAAAGGGAATCTATTCTATATATAAAAGAGGTTATCGGGAGAAAATTTATTTTATCCTTTTAATTTTATTATTTTCATATTAATTTTGAGATAATTTTGTCTATCAATATAAAATTTTCTCTTTCACTTTTTCCTTCTTTCTCTCCACGCCACTTCTCACTTTTTATTTTCATTTCTTTCAAAATATTTTATCTCGATCCTACAAATTTCACTTTTCTCAAATTAATTTTTTTTATAGTGAGAATATAAAGAGTTAGAATATGTAAGTTTAATTAATTAAAAAGTTATAATTTATTTTTAATTATAATGAATAATAAATTTCAAAAGTTTCCTAACTTTTATTTTCCACGACTATATATTTTCTGACTCTTTCTCCCAACTTTTTATTCATCAAAACTTAGCTTCTTTTCTCTGGTATGTTTTTCCCCTTTAGTCAATGTGTGTTTTTTTATATTTAGTTAGATTATTTGATTGAACATTCAACTTTTAGGATTTTTTTTCAATGCAATGTTAATAATTGTTATTTAAAGAATACTTGATTACCTAGTTTAAGAGATGACATACTTGTTTTTTTTTTATCATTCTATTTTTCAACTACTCAAATAAAAAATCAAAACAAAGTTTTATTTACTTTTATGCATGGTTATGTTTAGGGAAAAACGATGAAAAATCCATGAATATCTTTTTTTAAAAAAAAAATTAAGTAATTGAATAATAATATTTTTTAGTTATAGGTGATGAGAATTATTGAGACGTTGATTTTATGAGATAAATATGGAAAATATTAAAAAAAATTGGTGAGGTAAATATTGAGAGATAAAATGACCAAATTATATTAAAATTTTAATTATTTTAATTAATTTTTATATTTTTAAACATTGAAATAAAAACTATGAAATTTCACGTGCACTACACGTGTTTCTTACTAATACATTTTAAAAAGTGTTCAATATACCCATTTAATAACTAATTATTTATTTGTTTTATATTTTTAAATTAAGTCTACTTGATCACAATTTTTTTGGGCATGTTTTTAGGTTTATTTGAATTCTTAGCCAAATTTTAAAAATAGATACAAAATTTTGAATTTTTTTAAAATTTCAAAATTTTACTTATATCTTAAAAATATTTTTTATAAATAGGCAATTTAAGAAAATTTAATAAATAAATGAGTGAAACTAGCTTAATTTTAAAAAACAGAAAATAAAGATAAAAGGAGTGTCAAACTTATAAAAGTAGAGTGGCTTTTAAAGTAATAATAATATAATAATAAAATTGTAAATTAAATAAAAAGTTTACAAAATTAAGTTATGCATATTGACGTGTGAAATTCGGAGCTGAATCAGCAAGTAAATCGTGTATTAATTATTTTAAAAAATTATTCCTTTGTTTGTTACCTATTTCTTTTTTCCTTGAAAAAATAATGATCTTTTTTACCAAATAAAATTTAAATCGAGTAAGTGAAAAGCTCGATTTCAAATTTTTAAATGCAACCTCAATTAAATTTAACTTATATATGGTAATAAATCTATAGTATATATAAAATGGGCTATAGTGAGAAATTTTTTCCACCTATTTTACCCATTTAATTTCAACATTCCATAAATATTTTGAGAGCAATTTTGTCCTTCAAGTATAAAATTTTCTCATTCCCTCCCCTTTTTCTTCACTCCCATGGCACTTTCCCTTTTTTTTTCATTTCTTTTAAAATATTTAATCTTCATTATTACAAATTTTACTTTTCTCAAATTAGTTTTCTCTTTCTAATAAACTCCCCCTCCTAAAGGTTAGAATATAATATAAAGAGTTAGAATAGGGAGGGTTTTGTCTCTTTATTTCTATGTTGAAAAGTTATAACTTATTTTGAATTATAATTAATAAAGAATTTCAAAAGTTTCGTAACTTTTTATTTTCTACAACTATATAAAGAGTTTTTTCTTACTCTTTCTCCCAACTTTTTCTTCATTAAAACTTGAGTTTCTTTTCTCTTTCGCTATGTTAATTTTCTCCTTTAATCAATGTCTTGTGTTTTCTTATATTTAGTTAGATTGTTTGATCGAATATTCAACTTTTTTAGTTATTTTTTTTTTTCCAAACAACTCAATCAACTGGAAAAAGGAAAGGGAAAATGAGTGATAAGATCGAATCACCTTGGACGGATCTACCTTGAGATGACACTTGATAACCGCGAGGACTCTCTCAATGACCTCCTCCTTAAGTGATCATCGTGTGATGAAAATAGCCGGAGCAATCCATCGGAACATGGCTGCGGTTGGCATTCCCGTCGAGCTAGGGCAAGGAATTGGATCGGAACTCGAACATGGCAAAGAACGGCTGTCCTGAACGCATCTCTGTCTCTCACTATTTTTTTTTTGTCATTTTATTTTTCAATGACTCAAATAAGAAATTGAAACAAAGTTTTATTTACTTTTATGTATTGTTATGTTTTGGGAAAAAAATGACAAGTCTATGAATATGTGTTTTTTTAGAATTTTTTTTTAAGTAATTGAAGAATAATACATTTAGTCACACTAATCGCATCAATGGGTGATGAGAATTATTGAGACGTTGTTGTATGAGATAAACATTGAAAATACGAAAAAACTCAGTGAGGTAAACATTTAGAGATAAAAAGAATCAAATTAGATTATAAATTTTAACTATTTAATTAAATTTTATATTTTTAAACATTGAAATAAAAACTATGAAATTTCATGTACACCACACATGTTTCTTACTAGTTCAATACAAAAGTGTGGACAAATTTTAAAATATTACATAAAGATCGATAAAAGTTCATGTACCACATAATGGTTGTTTCTAAAATGTTTCTAAAAAAAGAAAAACAGAAATAGTTACCGAGGCTTATATTTCTAGTTTAAAAACTAAAAACGAGAAATAATAAACAATAAAACAAACCACGTAAGTTTCTTTCATATTTCTAGTTTTTTTCTTTCAAAGCATAAATAAAAATATTATTTTATCATTTTTGACTTATAAAAAGTATAAAAAAATTAAATATAGCATAAGAATTTTTAATACTTAATTTTGGAAATTTTATTTTCACATAAAACCTTTTTTTTTTAATTTAACATTTTAGATAACAAGAAACAAAAAATTGTGGCATGATTATGTTTCTTTTCTCAATAAAGGAACCATAAACAATCATCAAACACAACTATATTTTTGTCCACGTTGAAAAGATAACGAACCTAATCAAGGTTTATAATATAAGTGTGTTACTTCTCTCATTGTCAATTGATTTTAAGATAAAACTCCCATAAATAACCCAAAAATTCAAACGAACATCTAGTCCAAAAATGAGATTCGACCAAGATTGGTGAACCAAAAAGAAGCACATCTAAACGAGGTGTGTTAAGAATCCCACACTGGAAAGATAAGAAACCTAATAAGAAAGACTTGATACCATATCAACATTCATAGAGTTCCATCGAGAACGTTACCAAACAGATCCTTAAAATCTCAAAATTCTTTCGTCTAAGTTCAAACCATAGAAACATCTCTCCTTTGTTGGAAAGGAAATTTGATGAAATTTATGAATTTGGCTGGTTCCTACATTTAAGAGTCCATAGTTACATATTATATTACATTAGATGGATAATCCATCTAACCTTAGCATTTTTAGAGCCTCCTCTTTTGGCCATTCCTCTGTGCTTCGTAATGGCTCTGTTTCAAGTTTTCAACTTCGTCTTGGCTGCACAATGAGTCTTGGTTCCTCCTTTAAAACTTCTACAGTTCTGTTTTCCATGTCTTCACCATCACAACCTATTTCTCACGACCTCAACAAACTACACCAACCCATCTTCTATCCACCTGCAAGTTTAGTGAACTTTCAAAACTGTATCTAACATGCTTTCGAACTTTAAAAAGTATCTAATGAGTTTCTGAGTGCCTAATAAGTCTTTAAACTTTCTATTTTCATGTGTAATAGATCTCTAAACTTTCAATTTTGTATCCAAATGAGTCCCTGACCTTTTCAATGTTTTTCTAAAATTCATGGACTTATTAAACACAAAATTGAATTTTGTGTCTATTAAGACCGTGAAACTTCAATTCTGTGTTTAATAACTCTAGGAGCTAGGAAGCACCGACACATGAAAATTAGTCAAGTGTCGACACCGATACGTCGGACACCGTCTGTTACAGGTGTCCTAATTAAAATTTTCTTTTAATTGATGTTGGTGACACGCACAGGACACGATAAATAAGCATCCCATTTAGTTTTCAAATTCTCTCGTCTTCCAGTGCACACTCCATAGCCCAACCCAATTTATTAGATTTTCCTGTGCTCCCCGATATCTTTTTCTTCTTCTCCATAGTTCCCCTTTGCTTTTTCTTTCAAAATTTCTGTCAATTTTCATCTTCATTTTCTCCATCATTTCTTCCACCCACCAGCCTTCCGCTTCCCCCATTTTCATTTGCACGGTTCCGCAAACATCATTTGCACCTTGATTTTCTTCTCCATTTCTGTTCCGCGAAAAGTGACAAAAAAGGAAGAAGAAAGGAACAAGTAAAGTCTAGAGGTGGAAGAAGAAGAGGAATAAAAAGAAGGAGAAGGAGAAGAGACTAAAGAGAAGAAGTCATCACTCCATGGAGTATTTTTTTCCATGAATGATAATTGGTAAATTTATTCTTCCAACAAAAAGAAAGCTAGCTGGCATTATTTTCTTCCATGTCAGTCATACCATTGTAAATATTTTAAGAAATTCTCTTACTTTAGTTTTCCAAATCTATTTCCAAAATTTTTTTATTAAAATATTGAATAAACTTTTTTTTATCTTTATTAAATATTTATTAAATATTAAAGTTTTGTAATATCTTCCTGTTTAATTAAGTTTTTTTTTTTACCAATAATGGCTACAGATCATATTTATTTAGTTTTTATGTTGATGTACTTACTTCCAGTAAAAATATACTTTTAAAACTATTTGTCAAAATATGTACATTATATTTTTATTAAAAAAAAAATTTGACGTGTTCCCAGCATATTGTGTCCTACTTATTTAGAAATTGTGACGTGTCACTGTGCCGTGTTGTGTCGTATCCGTATCGCATGTCTGTGTGCTTCTTAGTCCGCAAGTTTTAAAAAATGTTTAATAAATAGGGAACTGTTAAAATTGAATGTGTAGGACGTAGTACCTATCTGACACAATCTACTAAACTTATAATTATATAGCCTAAACCCATAACTCAATAGGTTCTGATTTGAAAGAAAAGATCATCTATATTCCTTCATTTTTTATTTTCTACTTAACCAATCTTCTTAGGAACGATTAACTTCTTATAGGGCCTTTTTATTTTCTAAGTTATATATCTCTACTACCAATTAATTGGGTTTCTACACCTTCAAATAATATCTCATTTCATGAGACTTCAGAAAAGAAAGAATTACTTTCTCTTTTAACTTTTAACTTTTAACTACGGTAAAAGATAGAATAATATCTTAGTTCATGAATCTATACAAGAACATTATATCTAACATATAATAATATTTTATTTCTTCAAGCATATCTAAGAGGAGCTTTATTTTATGCCATTTTGCCGGTATTTTAAAAAACATGCAACTGCTATAGCCTATTAGATGAAGACAAATTTTACAAAAGGTCTTGTACAGTAATGTGTAAATGCACACACTTACCTTATTGCTACATAAGAAGTTCATCAAGAAATGGAGTGCTGAATGGTAGCTTAATGACACCAGAAGCCACAAGAAGTGACAATGCCCAAATTGGTAGAAGCCATTGAAATGTAAACAGCAGAAACCATTTTCCTACAGATTAAAATCAAATCAAACAAGTATGACAAAGTAAATGTCACCTTTCACAGGGTAACCGAACAGAGGAAACGAGAGCTTGGAAATAAGATAGTTTAATCACTTGGTGTATTTCTAGATTAATGAAATGATGCATTTTTAAATGTATGGACAATAATTTATTAGATATTTGACATATATGTAGTCATGTTTCAGTATTTGTTTTTATCTTTTTCTATTGTCCCCATGTAACGGAGTAAGTTATTCAAGAGACAATATTCTTCTTTCTCTTGCGGTGTCTTATGTTTTGTTCGTGAACCCATCAATTCATGTCTTCCAAGATGCTTCTAAGTCAACCTTATGCTTCAACAACATTGACTCAATCATCCTAATTTACTAAAGATTGAAAAAGAACCTGATTCGAAAACAAAATTGTTTCAGTGCCACGGATGAGAAGAAAGAGTCTACCCAAAGGTTCAGGCCAGAATGTAGGAAGCGAGTGATATGTTTTTATATTCTTATGAGAAGTTCTACGGTGGTTACATGGGAGGATCAATTACCGAAGTACAAAGAAAATAAAGTTGGTAAGAATGTGGCTCTTTTAGATCAACAATTTTGAGAGTTTTCCCTTATAAAGATCCATTAGACATTTGATCATTCAAACCAAATACAACTAACATTATAGTTGAATGGCCTTCTAATTTGTACAACACATAACAAGCCATGGATACTCCACTCCCAATGAAGTTTATGATAGAGTCGAAATAGCTACAATAGATTGAAAGAGAATGAGAGAGTGACTACAATTATCCCGAGTAATTCGAGGTACTTGGACCCTAAGCCTAAACCAGACTAACAATTGTCTACCTTCATCCTTTCCCCCTCAATCTATGTATAACTAACCCACTCCTTAGCTAATTACTTGTATATACTTACTATCTCATTAATAATCCTAATTAACCCAAAGGCATTCCTATCCATCTGATGGTTTAAATACTTTATTACATGTCTCTAGGGAAAGAAGCTTATGTTTGTTGTTTAGCAGAATATTTGGACAGAGTTCTAAATCACTCTTTCAAAATTGAAATTTCGCGAGCATGTGTGAAGAACCTTTAACATTCTCTACATTTTCTAACTGGATTCCAGAATTCTCGTGTAATGAACATATTCCATTTTTTTTGTATAAGAAGAACAAAACCAATATTTCATTGCATTACTTAAAAGACAACAAAATTTTGAGGAAACAATCAAATAAGTCTATAATATCCTTTCTCATGCTCAAAACATCAACAAGAAAAGAAAGATGAACAAACACAGAACAAAACCAAGTTTTGAAAAATAGACATAAAATTCTTACCCGAAGCTTGAAATTTGGTTTCAGTTTGATTGGTTACCCATTCCCCTGTCTCACGAAGCTTTTTCATGAGTGGCCCCTCATATTTTTCCGTAAAACTCAGTAAAAACATATCAAATACAGTCTTCCTATCTTCTTCCAAATCCCTGAGAATCAAAAAAATTTGCATTGCACACCACAAATTATCCCCTCCCCCAAATCCACCATCTCATATTTTAGTAGAACGGAACAGCTAATGTAGTAGAGAGAGGAATTGTGAGACTTGCCTAGGGTCGGCGTCTCTGAACCTTCCGGCGCCAATAGCGCGTTCGATTTCAATGACGGAGGGGCGGCGCGGTTTTGGCAGGCGGCGGTGCGGTGAATTCTTGATCGGAATGGTGTCGGCGGTGCCATTGGGTTTGGGAGAAGGAGAGTGCGAGTCGTCGCTGCCATTGAGAGAGGCGAGAGCAACATTTTTGGTCACAGAAATGCAGGAGAAGGAAGCCAATGCAAAAGCCATGGCGGTATGAGGTATGAGTAATCTTTAATTTCGCGAATCATATTTGAACCAAATTACCAAAATATCTTCTTTATCCATTGAGATGTGTGTTCTTTTTTTTTTTAGTCCACAATTATGAATCATTAGGTAAGGGGAGCTTTTATTATTATTATTTTTTTTTTTCCGGAGATCATGATCATTCATCATCTTTTGATTAAAAATAACTCTCATTATCAATTCGTTAAGGTATGTATACTGACAAAATGTCATGGAAAAATATATTTCTTTTTATTTACAGAAGGAAAAATATATATTTCTTGCTTCCGTTCTTTAAAATTAGAAAAAGTATAAGTTTTGTATGAAAATTTATTTTTAAATTAAATATTCATAATTGGTATGTTATATGTTTTTTATATTTATTGTACATTTTATAAGTCAAAAGCGTGATTGTTTTAAAAAAAATGTCAAAAGCGTGATAAAATAATATTTCTAAAAGCGATAGACATACACAAGAAACTTGATTTTGTTGTTTTTTTATTTTATAATCAAGAGGCACCGATGCAAGAGACATCAAGGATATATTTGTATTAAGCTCACCCTAATGTTCAAACTTGAGATCTCTAGATCGGTATGATCAAAATATCTCAAGCCCTTATCAACGGGGCCGCCTTTGGAGGTAACTTGATTTTGTTGTTTGAAATCATGATTAGTCAATTTTAGAAACGCTCTTTTTTTAATGATAAATTTTGGAAATACTATTTTTTAAATGATCACTTTTTGAAATGTTTTTTAAAAATGATCAATTTTGGAAACGTTTTTTTAAAAATGAAAAACAAGAAATAAAAACAATTACAAAAACGCTTATGTTTCTCAAAAATTGGAAATGAGAAAACAAGAAACAATAGACAGGAATATTACCAAACGGACCTATATGATTTTAGGGTGTGTTTGGAAATGATGGTAGAATTAGTGATTTTGAAAAAAAAAAAAAAGATTTAAGTATAATTGATTTTTCAAAATCAACATCTGAGTGATACCTTAAAATCAATTTAGAGTAATTTTAAACTTTCCTAAAATCATTTTTTTAATTTGTCAAACATGATCAGTGGAAAAGAAAGTGATTTTGAGAGTGACAAAAGTGATTTTAGTCATGTCAACATCATTCCCAAAAACGCATCCTCAGTTTGAAAGTATATCTAGTGATGTTTTATACATTTTAGGTGACATGGAGCTACAACCTTCCTGTAATGGGCGTACTTCCCCTTACTTTAAGTTAGCTGGATCACCTTATATTAAAAATTTCGAGATGAAAAATACTCCCATATTTAATATATTTCTTTTACATTTTATTAATTTATTATGTTTAAATATTTGAATTTAATTATAATTTATTATTTTGTGGCAGATTGAAGATGTTCAAGAGTAACAATTTAAAAGCGCAATTTTAGAGGATAATGCAGACTTCACCAACGAATAAAATACAAACCTAATTATTATGGAGGGACGCAGAAAGAGATATAATCAAAGTAGGAAACATAATAAGTCTTTTATTTAAATTGTTTTCTTTTAAATGGTATCTTCCCAATTAGTTAGGAATTCCAATTAGTTATGAATTCCTTATTAGAAATAATTCATCTCGATAACATTAATCCTATAAATAGAGAAGCCTTACTTTCCCCCTCTACCATGAGTGAGACTTTAATTTTTCCAATTCAAGGGTAATTCAAGTCTGATTGTAAGCTTGTGAGGCTCAAGTTAGATAGAGATTTCTTCTTTTTCAAATATTCTTTCTTTCTTGTTCTTATTATTTATGAACAATTTATATTAATTAAATTGACGCCTTATTTCATATTAATTATTCTACTGCTATCCATGAGTTTGTGATCCGTAACTCATCCGTAATTGTCATCAATAATTGAAATAAGTAGCAAGGAGTTGGCTTATGTGTGTGTTTTTATGACTTTTCCATGTTTACATAGCTTGATAGACTTTAGGGAAACAAAGAGACAAAATTAATGAACTTGTAGTTATCTCAAATTAATTGATTTTGGTTTAGTCATTTTTGTTATCCTTAATGCTATTCTTTGATTAATATGGAATGCTATCGTACCCAGTTGATTAATTAATAAGATTTAATTTTGATGCTTAGTCTAATTAAATTAATTAAATTAGGAGAATTAAAACTCACCACGGTTTTCCGAGTAAGTCGACTAAGTTCTTGAATCAAGAAACTAATTTTGTGTAAAGCCTATGATCAAGATTATAATTTGATGAAAATCACACATTTGGATTGGAAGTTTGGTAAGATTGACTTTCGTTTTCCTTTTAGTTTATCTATTTAAATTTAAAAATTTAAATTCAGAACCCCCCAATTTTTTTACTTTCAGAAATTAATTTCATTGGTTCCATTGGGATTCGACCTGGTCGCACTACTTCTACAAGTTAGATTTAGTAAAATCAATAATTATTTTGGAGGGTCTCGACAACCCTTACCAAAATTGGCACCGTTATCGGGGAATCATTATTATTTTCTCATTGTTCAATTTAACTGTTTATGACTCGTTTTTCTCAAAATATAGAACTACAATTTGATCCTGAAATTGAAAGGACATTGTACCAGTTAAGAGGGGAGAGAAGACGATGTTTGGAATTCAATGAAGAAATGGCAGATAGAACACTAAAACAGCTTGCAACACCAGATTTGAATCAACAACCTCTTTCCATATCTTTTCCAAATATTGAAAATGATTTTGAATAAAAATTTGGATTAATACACTTACTTCCTATTTTTCGTGGATGTGCAGGTGAAGATCCTCATAAACATTTGAAAGAATTCCATATTGTATGCTCTGGAATGAAGCCACATGGAGTGACTGATGAGCAAATCAACCTTAGAGCTTTTCCCTTTTCTTTAAAGGATCAAGCAAAAGATTGACTCTAGTATCTACCTTCTGTATCAATCACAATATGGAATGAGATGAAAAGACTATTCCTAGATAAATTCTTTCCTGCTCACGAGCTACAAATATTAGAAAGGAAATTTATGGAATCTCGCAAATCGCTGGGGAGACATTATATGAGTACTGAGAATGATTTAAGAGATTGTGTGCTAGTTTGCCCCACTATCAAATCAGTGATCAACACCTCATCCAATATTTTTACGAAGGATTATTACCAATGGATAGGATTATGATCAATGTAGCTAGTGGAGGAGCTTTGGTAGACAAGACACCAAAAGTAACCAAGCAACTAATTTCAAACAGGCTGAAAACTCCCAACAATTTGGATTTAGAACAAGAGAATTTGTTACACAAGTCAACGAGGTAAGTGAACTTAAAAGTCAAATATCTGATCTAACTGTTTTAGTTCGTCAAATTGTTGTAGGAGAAAAACCACATGAAATGTACGCACTTCAAGGACATCCTACAAATACATACCCTCAATTTCAACAAGATTCCATTTAGGAGGCCAATGCTATAGGGAGATTTCCTGGACTTCCACAAAGAAACTATGATCCATATGCCAATCATTATAATCCTAGATGGAGAGACCATCCAAATCTAAGCTATGGGAATCAAAACTTCATTAGACCACCTCCACCTCCTACGTAAACTCAAGCTTCAAACTTATATATGTCTCTAGAGGAAATTGTTAAAAATCTTGCTAATAGTACTCTTCAATTTCAACAGGAAACAAGGGTTGGTATGCAAAATTTGGCAACCAAATTACCCAACTGGCTACATTAGTGAGTAGATTGGAAGCTCAAAGTTCTGGAAGGTTACCCTTACAAACAAAAGTAAATCCAAAAGTGAATCAAGTGGAGAACGTTATTGCGATTATGCTGAGAAATGAAGAGGATATTCCTCCAGTATCAATTCCACTCAAGGAGAATGAGTTGAGCGAAGAAAAGAGAGAAACTTCTCCTAACGTATCACGCGGAATAAAATTTGATCCTCCTTTATCTCTTTCATCTTGCACTCTATTACTTCCTTTTCCTAGCAGGTTTATCGAACAAAAAAAGGAAGAGAATGAAAATAAGAAAGTAGATGTATGTAAGAATCTATCAGCTATCATGAAAAATAACTTACCAAAAAAATGCAAGGATCCAGGTATGTTTTCATTACCTTGTGTGATTAATAATAACAAAATTGAACATGTCATGTTAGATTTAGGAGCTTCCGTAAATATCATGCCATTTTCCATTTATCAAAAGTTAAAGTTGAAAGTATTGGGTGTGTTGCCCTAAACTCGTAGTTTGTATTTATGTAAAAACAAATTTATATTCAATAAAGTTTTATTCAATCAATTTGTTATTGAATTCATAGCATTGCATTGTCCAAAATCTAATACACTAAACATCCAAGGTTATTATCTTGTAACCAGGACAGTATATCTATAGGGTATATATTTGATATACCCCTGATATATAAGTGGATAATGTTCCGGGAATAACCTAAAGGGTCTATAGTATATGATAAGACTGGGTACCTTATCCTGGTAACATTATGGATACGACCCCCTTTGTAAATATTACAGACGACTCGATCCAGGTTGTTTGTGTGGAGACATGCGAGTGGGGGGTATCCTATAAAATGAGTTTGTATAAGACCGGACCGCAAAATAGCCAATCTTTAGATGTAACTCCGTTAACTATCAGATTGCTATTTCTTAAGATGACCAGACAACTCATTTTCAATCCTGAGTGAGTTATGGACTCTTACCCGTGAGGGCTCGTCCTTTGATCTGTATGGGTGAGAGTGACCCTAGTCGTCGACTCAACATTCCTACCATTTTTGGGGATGAGACCGAGTGGGGAGCTGGGAACATAACTTCACAAGATCGAATTCACTCCTCCCCAACCTTAGGGAAGTATATGAGTCTTCTCTTAAATGCTGACTCTGGGACTTGAACAAGGGGCCCCACCCTCTCAGTGGCTCGAGAGAGACTTCCGGTTATTGGTCGGACCATAACCGGGTTGTTCATTAGAGGAGCAATGATATTTAAGGAGCAAGATGTAACTCAGGGGTAAAACGGTAATTTGACCTAACTCGAGTTACGAGCACTCGTTAATGATTGACTTGCCATTAATGGTTGTATATCCGTGGACACGAAAATATTCTACAGTGAGAAGAGTGCAGCTGCGGATCTTTAGTGGAGTGACCCATAGTTAACGACGAATGTTGAATAACTCGATCAATGAGTTTGACCGATTAATCTCATATCGTTGAGCTTCTGATCTGTAGGTCAATTAGGTCCCCTTGCTAGCTCATAACGGGTAAAACGATGATCAAATTTTTGGAAGAATTTGAACGGTTCTAATTGCTCAAGGGAATATATGTATATTGATACATCATAATATAAACTATATATTATGAGAGATATTATTTGAATGAGATTCAAATAAAAATTAATATGAATAAGATTCATATTAAAACTATAGGTTAAAAATAATGTGCATAAGATGTACATTATGACTATAGGTTATACGAGAGATGCATTTGAATAAGATTCAAATATATGGGGTTAATTAAATATGTGATATTTAATTAAATTTTAAATAATTAATTGTTAATTATTTATTTAATTAATATTAGATTTAATTAATTATTTATTTATTAGATTAATAATTAATAATTTATTTTATTTTATTAATAATTAAGTTAATTAATTATTAATTAGATTGATAATTATATTAATTAATTATTAAGTTTAATTAAAAACTCCCCTCCAAAATCGCAGGAGTGGGAAGTTGTGACGTGGGGAGTTACCCCACGTCACTTTTGTTTAAACTAGTTCTGTATATTGGTTCTTCCCCTATAAGAGCAAGAATTCTCTCTCAATCAAGTTCTCTCTCTCAATTCTCCCTCTTGTTCCAAATCAAAGTTCCTACAAGCCCGATCTCGTACCCAGAGGATAGCACAGAAGATCATTTGGTGATGTTCAGGAGATTGAATCGTTGAAGAACAGTTCTTCAAATGTAAGTTTTCCATGTATTTCTTATTCTTGCACATTTGATTTTGTTTCTAAAAAATTCATGAACGATGATCCGCTTCCGCTCCGGTATTCACATCCCATCAGAAAGACTTACAAAAGACTGGTGTAGTGGTTCAATTAGCTGATCATTCTTACATTAACCCACTCAGAGTTGTTAAGGATATCTTAATGCAGGTTAATAAGCTCACGTTTCCTGTTGACTTTAATATTTTAGAAATAGGCAGTAACCCTTCAACAAAGTTAGCCTCCATTCTGTTGGGACGTCCATTTATGAAATTGCTAAAACGAAGTAGATGTGGATGGAGGCACTTTTTCAATAGAATTAGATGAAGATATTGTAAAGTTTAATATTTTCAATACTAATGTTGAACATTCTCTTTATCGAAATAACATGAATGGTCTTGATACACATGATATAATTATAGAGTAAAATGTTGATCATAAGACTAAATAGATTATTAATGATATTCGTGCTAAAGAGATTAAAAATAAGACCCGATCTATTTTTTAAATAATTAATATATATTTTATTGACATATATTACTAAATTGTGAATAAAATATTAAATATTTTTTAAAACTAATTATTTACACTAGTAAATAATAATTCTAAAAATAATTAATATATATTGATTACACTTTTTATTTTTTAAATTCTAAAAATAATTAAAATTAATTATAAAATCGATAAGTTTTCTCGTGAATTCCTCGTCCACAAATAAGGATTATTTAACTTGGATCTCGATTCCCGAACTGAAAAACGAGGTGAAGACGGAGGAAAAAAATTTCTACGAGCACGCGAATGATAGAGGACATCCTCACTCCCATCCCACACCATTGTCATCCCTACTCTATATAGAATTTTCTTTCTCTAATATATATTTTAAATTTTCTAACTTTTTAAAACAGAAAACTAAAAATGGTTACCGTACTTTGATTTTCTTTTTTTTTAAAACAAAAACAAAAACCAGTTATCAAATATGTATGTTTTTTTTAAACAAAAAATTAAAAACAAAAAACAAAAAACAGAAAAATAAAAAACCAAAGACGGACCCTTAATATTTATGTTTCTAATTTTGATAATATTTGATAATAAAAATAAAAAAATTTTAGAAAATTCAATTTAATTTTGGGTCGAGGGCCAATGAACATGAATTTCAAACACAGGTTTAAAAATTGCCTTTTTAATTATGTTTAATTTCAGACTTGTTTTTTTTTATAATACTTGTTTTTTTAATTTCAAACTTACTACACAACCCGACACCACAAATAGCTACAGAGATTCATAATATACTGAAAAATAGCCTACACAACTTTCCCAAATCTACCCATAACTTAACATCCCAAGGTTTAAGATGTGAACCTGCGAATGAAACATCCCTTTATAGTTAGTTCATGAGTCTTTTATGCAATTATCCCAAAATTTTATCGAAAGTTAAAAATTAATGTCAAGAACCACTTAAATCTAAAGTTTTTTAGGGTTAGAGTTGAATAAGTTTGAGCTAATTATTTTAATGTTTGATTAAAACTTTTTTTCGAGGAATTTTTATATAATTAAAAATGATTTTTAACGATTAATATTTAAAGTTTATAGAAAATTTTGACAAAAGTTACACACAAAAACCTTAGAGGGAGAAATTTTAGAGATATAAGAGAGGAAAGGTAATTTTGAAAATGAGAACAATAACTATTTTAAAAATTAATTTTCTTATTGTTTTTTTTTGGGTTAAAAATCACTTGGAGAATCACCCTCCAAATGATTGATCGAGATTCACTTAGGGTATGTTTGATAGTGATTTTGGCATGACTAAAATTACTTTTGTCATTTGTCAAAATCAATTCCATTTCTATTGATCATGTTTGACAATTAGAAAATTGATTTTAAGAGAGCTTAAAAATCATTTTAATTGATTTTTAAGGTATCATTTGATGCTGATTTTGGAAAATCAATTATGTTTGAATTTTTTTTTTATAAATCATTTATTCTACCACCACTCCCAAACCACACACCCTTAGAATGAATCCAAATCACTTTTGAGTCATTGTCAAACATTTTATTTTAAAATGGAAGTGATTTTGGCGTGAGTAAAAGTAATTTTAGCAATGCTAAAATCACTCTCAAATATGCCTTAAGTAAGGTTGTCACAACTACTTCACCATAGTTAGGGCAGTTAAACCAACTCTCATACGAGCTCCCAATGATTCTTTCATCTGGTCGTAGACTATAGTCACTTTTGGTTCTGCGGATTCTTTCATTTCTATTTAAAGATCATTTCCTTTGTACAAAATTTTGGAAACAAAGATAAAAAAAAGTTATTTTTTATAAAGTATAAGAGCCCAACACAATATATATATATATATTTTTAAAAATATAGAAATTAAAATAAACTAAAATTAAGAATACATGAGCTAAAATAACAAAATCTAAAAAAGTAGTGAGATAAAAATATTATTTTAACTTATTATCAGGTGAGGAGGATATATATGTAGATTTTTTATCGAAAAAACTTTTTTAGTACAATAATAAGTGTAGGATTCGAATACCAGAAATAAGATATATTTTTAGATTGAGCGTGGATGTAGTATTCATTATTTAAAGAGTAACGGAGTCAAATTTTATTTTCTTGAAATTAATAACGAAGTCAAATTAGTACCATTTTATATATGAAAAATGAATGTCCATAATAATTATTATTACAAAAACAAAGTTTCTAAAAAATAAAAAATAATGATGATGACACGTATGATATACCGAACCATGGGGCCATCCACGCCATCCCCAACACATGTCAGAAATTGGAATCTGTTTTCTCCAAAATCGGAGTTCAAATTCCAAAAAAGAGAGAGAAAAAAAAGGAAAGTAAAAATTCCTCCCCTCAATCTTCCTCTCCGCTGAAGAATCCCTCCTGTTCTTCGTTGGATCACAGAGAGAGAAACCTCTGAATCAGAGAATCGAGGCCTGCGAAACACGTCTCTCTCTTAATCTTCGGAGAGAGAGAGAGAGATCTGAAGAGTGTTACAAATTCATGGCCACGCTTCAGACATGGCGGAAAGCCTATGGCGCTCTCAAGGATTCTACCAAAGTCGGCCTTGCCCATGTCAACAGCGACTACGCGGTATTCTTGGATTCTTTTCTTTTCTTTTTTATTCTTCTTCTTCTTATGCGCTATATTATTAGGTTTTTTTTTTTTTGGATTTTATCGATCGTGTTTGATCCGGTTTGTTGGTTTTTCCATATTATCTTATTATGCGGGATTCTGGTCTGAGTTTAGGATTTGGATGTGGCGATAGTCAAAGCTACTAACCACGTCGAGTGCCCGCCAAAAGAGAGGCATCTCAGGAGTGAGTGATTGCTGTTGCCAGATCTGGGTTGTTTCTTTTGAGGCAGAAATTTGATTTTCTGTTTTTGTTTCAGAAATTCTGGTTGCTACTTCGGCGATTAGACCGCGAGCTGATGTTGCTTATTGCATTCATGCGCTCGCTCGACGCTTGTCCAAGACGCGGAATTGGACGGTACGAATATTGTTCACCTTGGGTTGAATTACTCTGTGAATGTTGCTCAATTTTTTTTGCATCATCTGTATGTTGCTCAACAGCCATGTACAATTTTGTTTTCCTTATTTTGAATGTTACTACTTGAAGGGGAATTTTGAACTTTCTGTCAATTTGTCAGTGTTTCTAGTAAGTTCATTTCCATCTGTTATGCTAAAATACAAAACCTTTTGGTTCCTTGATCTATCCCATTATTAGCTGAGTCTTTTTTTTGAAGTTTTTGTTTCATATTTCTAGGATTTCATCGATTTACTGGTAATGAAGTAGGACCTCTGTGGACTGAAGATTCAGGTCTTATCCGGTCCTCAAAACCAAATGTTTGTATCTCAGTTATTTTGACAAATGTGATACTGACTGATCCATGATTTTCAGTGGAATGAATGTCACAATGCAATGTTAACAGCTGACCATTGTCCTCAGATTTTGTCTAGATTTATTTAATCCTTTGCGTCTCTTTTTACATTGTCTATTGATACTTTTGACTTCATTTCTTTTGGCATACACTTTATAAGTTTCTTCATGTTTTACAGGTGGCTCTGAAAACTTTAATAGTCATACATAGGACCTTGAGGGAGGGTGATCCAACATTTAGGGAGGAACTTCTGAATTTTACACAAAGAGCCCGAATTCTCCAACTGTCTAATTTTAAGGATGATTCAAGTCCTATTGGTAACTTTTTGAGATTCTCAGCTATTAGTTTTCTATGATTCATACAAATCATACTCTAATTGTGTAGTCAATAATAATAAATGACTGATACATATATCTTTTTAATAGCTTGGGATTGCTCTGCTTGGGTACGTACATATGCATTGTTTTTAGAGGAGCGACTTGAATGTTTCAGGATACTAAAGTATGACATTGAATCTGAACGTCTGCCAAGACCTGCTCAGGGTCAGGAGAAGGTATTGTATTGAAGAATTTTTGTTAATTCACATGGCCTCTTGCTTGGTACATGTTTGAGTGAGTTATAACAGTTTTTTTAGCTACATACTGTGAAAGATGCATATCTTTTAGCTATCATTAAAAATAATGTGATGATAGATTTCTTATTATAAACGTCCCAATTTCACCATAAATATTTCTTCCATAAATTTTGAATATGGTTGCCTTTAATGAGGTGGAAGCTGATTTAGTTTACTGGAGGTGAAGTTTGGCTTAATGACAGTTTTTTCCATCGACTCTAGATGGTCAAGAGGACCTTAGTGAGGATATTAATTGGGGGAACCTCCATTTTAGCCTAGGCAAAACTGAACATCCGCATTAGGTTGACTCCAAATAGCAAACAAGGGAGTAATCCTTAATAAAGGGGAAAAATCAAGGGAGTAGGGAACTGAGAAACCTATTTTCATCCTTAAGTTACGAGAGTTCCACTTCCAATGCTAAAATCCTAATTTCTATGTTATTCTCGGCTAAATGCTTGCTTAACTTTTTCTAACATATATCCAGGTATTACAGCCTGATTTTTGTTAGATTCTTTGAATGGCTGCTTTTTTAGAGAAATGTAAGGTTTTTGTTGGGCTTACTGTTTAGGCAGTATCAATAGAAATGACAAAGTTTGGCAAAGAATTCTTCCTTTTTCCTTAATCGTCGATGCATTGGGTCTATCTCTGTACCGGCTGGAACCAAAACAATTCAGTTTCATTTGTATTAGAACAGACTAAAGAAATATATACTTTCAAACCCTTCCTGGTAAAGCCTCTCTTCAAAATTCTTCCTTCAAACCCCTTAACCTACTCTATTTAGAATCACTCTACTAACTAATTCCTTAACTAAGGGATAACATGTCTCTAAAATCCTAATGATATTCCTAATATTTTCCTACTAATATGCCTAACATTACTTTGCCCTTGAAACACACATTATCTTGAAGATGTGGTTGATCAGTGGGTTCCCTTGAAGCAAATTTGAAAAAATTATTGGAGGAAGTGGAAGAAAACCCATAAAAGGTGGCATTATGGCAATGCTTGTTTTTCCTTCTTTCTTTTCTTTTTCCTCCCCTTTTTTGGGGGAATTCCATCTACATAGCTTTCCGTTTTCCTCTTTATTTTATTGACTCGAGTTTGGCTGGAAAATACCCAGAAATCCCACTCTTTAAAACAAGCCTGGTCATACTCATTACGCCTATAAAGCCTATAAAATTTGGTGGTTGCATGATGCACTCTCTCAACCAAAAAGCAGCCTAATACTTGCTTCCCCAACACAACTCTATTTGCTGCTCAACGCACAAAACCTATTATCTCTCTATTTTTATTTTGACCCTAATTTTGGAATAACCATAAATCCCCCTATTTCACGCCATCACCTGACCCTTAAAATTTCTTTCCATAAGGTTTTCTTTTACCCCTTTAAGTGGTGACCACAAAAATCTTTCTCTGTTAGGGTGATAAGGGAGTTGGAGATAGGAAAAGATGGTTACCCAGAAGGTTTTCTTTTACCCCTATAAGTTACCCAGAATGTTTGAAGTGTAGGGATTGGATATAGGAAAAGATGGTTTTCACTGCTCTTACAACGCCAATCTGGATTGAGGTAGGAACCAAGGTTTATAACTTTTGTTGTTACCGCCAGGATAGACAGACCAAAAAAGGAATTTGCATTTTTAAGAATGAAGGATTTCTAAAATTGACTCCTTTAAGAGGTACTTTGTTTTAATTGGAATGCGATGCCTAGAATTCATGGTTCGGGCTGTAGTCCTTGGAACAAAATCAATGATCATTGGTTCAAGGTGGAGAAATTCTCTCTTTTCAAATTAGGAAACGGTCCAGAACACTTTTTTGGCATCATTTGTGGATTGGTGAATCTCCTCTCATGGTCATATTTCCTTCTATTTATGATATCTCGTCGTCTCCCTTTACTTCGGTTTCGGATGCTTGGGATAGGGAGTCCTCTTCTTGGAATATTGTTACCAGAAGGGCATTGAAAGATGAAGAGTTTGTAGAGTTTTTGGAGTTGCTATCATGTATTTCTACGGTTAGTCTTTAAAGTGATGCTCGTCGATGGAGCTTGGGAAATTCGGGACTTTTCTCAGTTTCCTCTCTTAGTAAGCTTGGAGGAGCTGATTTGCGATTGTCAAAAGCTCATTTATCTTCTCTTTGGAAACGTGTAAACATGTTAATTTGGATTCTCCTACATGGCAAGGTTAATACAGCTGAGATTCTACTAAAGAAGTCCCCTAATATGGATTTACAGCCATCCATTTGTTTTTTATGTGCTGAACAGGGTGAGAACTTGAATCATATGTTTTTCTTCTGCCCATATGCTTCTGCCCGTTGGTTTTCCTTCTTCCAGATGTTCAATTTGGCTTGGATTTGGGACTGTGTGGCTGCTAGAAACATTTTCCAGATTCTCAATTGAGTTAGATTGGAGCCTAAAGCTAATCTGCTATGGATTAATGGTTTTAAGGCAATTATTTCAGAGTTATGGTTTGAAAGGAATCAAAGGATATTCAAGGATTCCAGCCGTTAGTCAACTTCAGTATTGCCAAATTTAAAGCTTCTCAATGGTGTGCTCTTTTCAATACTTTCTTTCCCTATTCTCCTAATTTGATTTGTATGAATTTGAAGACCTTTATAACTCCTTTGTAGTTTTGTTCTATTTTTATGCTTTCTCTTTTCACTCCTATTAGAAGTTTGTATCCTTGAACAATTTTGTTCCTTTTCATTTATCAATGAAAAGTTCGTATCTTGTTAAAAAAAAGAGGTGGTTGAAGAAAGATTTAATTGTGAAGGTATCAGAATCCTCCAAGAGCCAAATTCTAGAGTGTCTTCCCGATGTAATAGCAATTCCATCAATAAGATCAAAAAGTCGAAACCGTACATTAAATTCCCTCTCAAGAAGATCATTTTTGAAGTTGATGGTCCTAGTAATAATTCTTCAAGCCACGAGCATTGTTTACTTAAACATTTTCATGGATTGCGAATTTTGGGATATTGGGGATCATGGTGCCAAAAAAAAGCGCAAGTCTTGCCTTTGACACTAGACCTTGTATAGAGATCATGAGATTTAGAAAGTGATATTTGCTTCTAGAAGCTCATGATGCTTAGAAAATGACATATATGAGGAATGCTTCCAATGAATGAATCCTCATATTTTCTGGAAATAACCTCCTTCCTCATGTTGTTTGAATTATTAAAACACATCTAAAGTCATTTCATGAAGAAAGAATTTTCTCTCTTGTTTTTCTTGTGTTAGCCTTGGTCCCTTAGAAGAGTGACAACTTTCCATTTTTAATTGACTTGGTGGCAACCACCATTAGATGTGGGATTATTTCCTAGAGAAGATTTACAATGAGCTTATCCATTATTTTTAGAAATTGATTGTGGAGCAATGAAAATGAGGAAAAAAGTAGGCAGATAAGCATGCAAGTACCAATTAAATGAGAGTCAATTTTCCATATCACACCTACGAAACATTTTTTTTTTTTTTTGATAAGAAACAAAGATGTATATTAYCAAAGAAAGARCCCAAMAAATGGGSGAKACAACCTAAWGGYGGAGGGTAGASAGAACCCTCCCCTCAAGACTATCTAATTACAGCTTTCCAATCTTGCATAATAAAAAACAAAATGTAATTACAAAAAACCTTCTTGTGTATTGAAGTCCACCAAAAAACCTATGAAACATGAACACTTTAGTTTGGGCAATGTGTGCGTGCTTGACACTTTGACACTTGTTAGACATATGTTGGACACTTATTAGCACAATAGACATGCATCGACCAGTAGTTGAACAAATTGAATATGAATCTACACTTATTGGGCGCATGTTGAACACTTGTAAAACATATAACAAAGATGCATCATTGTACATAATAAACACATATTGACACTCGTGAACATCTGACAAACAATTATTAGACACATGAACTAAAGTGTTTAAACTTTTATTTAATAAATAAATGAACATAAATAGTAATATAGGACAAAAACAATAAATTGAGAATGAAATAGATCGAAACTTTTTTATTAAGCATATAAATGCGTGTAAGCTTTGTTGGTGATACTGATAACACTTTCTACAGGTTTGTACCTTTTGTTTCATTTCTTAGTTCCTTATGTAATACTTTTGGGTTTTAATCAAAGACAAGCATGTCTTGATGCATCTGAGGTTGTACCAAAAAAAAAAAGTACAAACTAAATTATGTGTTTTGGAGTGTCTAATGAGTGTTTGCACTTCATGGATTCTCATTCATGGTTTCTTCCATTGGCAGGGCTATAGCAGAACTAGGGAACTTGACAGTGAAGAACTGTTGGAACATTTGCCTGCTTTGCAACAGCTGTTGTATCGTCTTATTGGTTGCAGGGTATCTTTCTGACACCTTTGAATCTTCCGCTTTTGCTTGATACTCATAATAACTTTCTTCTTTAGAATATGGCTTTATTTTGTAAAATTTTTTACTTTGACCTTCTATAAACATGAAAACGACTTGATGTTAAAATTACAGCCTGAAGGAGCAGCTATTGGGAATTATGTTATACAGTATGCCCTCGCACTGGTATGCTGAATTTCTCTACTTATAATAACTTGCATTGTGCTTGCAGATAAGGATGGGAGTATCTATTTTAGGAAGATATTTTCATTTTCTTTTGAATTTTTCATGAATCAATTGTCGAGTAAAATGTGAACCGCTTAAACACCTAAGCTTGTCATATCATGTTCTTAGTAACAGAATAGTTCCCTCAGTGGCCAAAGCGAGCATAGTTCAACGGTAATTGGCATAATCTCCAACCAAGAGGTTGTGAGTTCAATCCCCCACCCTACATGTTGTACTAAAAAAAAAAATAGTTCCTTCAGTGTCCGAAGAGTCGAAGACCATTGTGTGGAATCTGGATAATATTAAAAAGTCAATGCTGGAGAAGTCTTTTATTCTAAACTTTAGAACTGTTCCTGTTTAAATAGAGTTTAATGTCATTTACAAGGAGCAGGAATAAAGTTTTGACGTTTTATATTTTTCTACTGGTTTTTCAAAAGCTTGATTCTAGGTAGAAGTTACCAAAGAGCAAATAACATTAGGAATAGGGACATTCTGGTTTGAAGGCTTGGCATAATGTTTAAGGGGAAAAATGAAAATGACATCCCGAACTAAATTCCAAGTATCTATGGAAAGAGGAACTAGGGTATTCAAAAAGAGAGGAAAGCAGTCTCGGGATTGTGTCCTTGGAGCAACATTGCATAAAATGCAGTACATTTAGAGATTCTCTACCCTTAAATTGGTTGACAGGGTGTAAGATCAGCTTGGAAAGATATAAAGGATTGGGGATGAAGCTTTATTTGATTGATTTCCAAACTTCTGTGGTCTCGGATTCAGAATATATTACAATAAAACATGCTTGGGAGGAGGATCCTTGGAGTTGGAGACTAACTTTGAGTAGTCTTACCGAATCCGAATAAGGGATCTTGAGGGGACCTTTTTCATGTGTTTGATAGGAAATCACCCAGATGGGAAAATCTAGTTGTAGCACTCAATTCTCAAAATATTTATTCTTTGATTTGCTGGACACACCAAACTTGCACTAAGTGGCAAATTTTCCTCGGCTATTTGTAAGGAAGAGTCTGAAGAAATTAAGTTTTTTGCCTGTACCATCCGTCAAGTAAGTATTATCTACTGCTGGAAGAGTCAAAAAGAGATGTCCAAGTTGCTAAGTCCCAGTTGTTGAGGTCTTCGCAAAAGATGGAAGAAAATCACGATCATTGGTTATTTAACTGCCTTTATAATCTGACATGGTCAATTGTTTCAATTTTGACAAAACTTAGGAAAGTAACATTGCCAACTGCTAGGCCATGATGGTTTTAAGCAGGGAGGAAAAACTCTATGGTTGAATGCCGTAAAAGCAATGGCTTAGGATTTAAATAAAACTTGGATATCTTTTATTTTGTTATTTCACCTGTCACCCTCTCCACTTTCTCCATGTTTTAATATGTAAGGACAAGGATAACACAGTAGATATGGGCAAAGGCCATATTTTTGTTCTTTTATGGATGTATCTTGCCTTATGTGGAAAGAGTTTTAAAAATTCTCTCTTTTTTTCTGTTCTCAAAGGATACTTTTTACTTAAGAAAGCTTTATTTCCAGTCTTGATAATGCCGTGGCATGCTATTTCAGGTATTGAAAGAGAGCTTTAAAATCTATTGTGCTATTAATGACGGTATTATAAATCTCGTTGACAAGGTAAGTTTGTTAGTAAGCAAGAATTGTAGACACAGATACATACAGTGCATTGGTAACAATAAAGTTATTTCCTACAGTTTTTTGAGATGCCAAGACATGAAGCTATCAAAGCCCTTGATATCTATAAAAGAGCTGGCCAACAGGTACTTTTGAACTCATTTTTGTGTTTAAATATGATAGTTATCTTTTTCGATGATTTTCTTGTCTTCCATCAACATTTTTAGTTGTTTTCCCTCCAAATTTCTCCAACCTTATTTATATTAGCTGAGGTACACCATTAGGAATTCAGGCTTATTTTTCTTGCCTTTACCTTACTGCAGGCAGCAAGCCTGTCTGATTTCTATGATATTTGCAAAGGGTTAGAACTTGCTCGGAATTTCCAGTTTCCTGTTTTAAGAGAGGTAATGATAGTGTATTATAGCGATTCTTGTTTCTTGTTCTTAAAAAAACTACTGTATGAACTTATGTTTTCCTATTTTATGCCTTGTTATGCACTTCCAGCCTCCACAGTCATTTCTTAATACAATGGAAGAGTATATTAGGGAGGCACCTAGAGTGGTTATGGTACCGAATGAGCCACTGGTTAGTATATTCTCAATAACTTTCCATACCAAAAACTGGGTTGTATTTAAGCATTCGTGAGGATTTGCTATTTGGATTTATTTTCAAGTTTGGAATCTACTTCTCAGGGCAACATGACTCTGTTTTCTTTTTTCTTGTCCGTTTTTGCCCTTGAGAATATTATTTGTGTGTATTAGAAATATTTTCGAAAATATTTAAGTTAATATTTTCTCATTCCGGACAGCTGCAACTTACTTACAAGCAAGAAGACTCTCCTGAAGATCCGAACTTACCCACTGAAGAACCAGAGGCTTCTCCTTCAGATAATCTTTCTATTACCCCTGTTGAGACGGCTCCACCGCCACCTCCAGCTCCAGCCCCTGCTCCTGAAATCCATTTAGATACTGGAGATTTATTGGTATATATGTACTAATTAAATTTTTTTTTTCTGTCATAAATGCTAATGCCTCTCACCACCATCCTTCCCACTTTTTAAATCCACAATAAATAAATAGAACCCTATTCTTGGTGGATTCTTCAGGGATTGAGTCTTGCTACCACAGAAGTATCTGCAATCGAGGACAGAAATGCTATGGCTTTAGCTATAGTTCCTTCTGGAGGTAAATTCCCAGTCTTTCTTACCGGTTGGGTTATTTGAGAATTTTTCTTAACCACTTGTGTTTATGACACCAAACCTTATATCAGATGCAGCAGCAGCACCCACTTTTGATTCCAATGCCGTACAGGCAAAGGACTTTGATCCTACTGGTTGGGAGCTAGCTTTGGTCACCACTCCAAGTACTAACATTTCATCAGCTAATGAGAGACAACTGGTAGGGGCTTTAAAATTATTGTGAATTCTGCACCATTTGGTTCTCTACATCTTGAATGGCCATTATTCCTTCAAAACAATTCTGAAATGAAACTGACAAAGCTAAGGGCTTAAAAAAACATCTTTAGGGTTTGCCTTAACTTCTTGTTGGACGAGCAAGTCTTGAATTCAGCTAGTGGAACATTTCTGAGGGTAGATTCTTTGAAATTCAAGGGGATTATTAGGAAATGGAAACCCAAGTTTATATATATATATATATATTATATATAAAAGAAACCAACAAAAAGAAGCCAAGCCTACAAGGAGGGACTCCAATCTGATAATTACGAAACTCTTTTGTAACCGAGGCTCACAAAACATTATTAGGGAATGGAAATCATAGTTTTAATGCTGTCGTTTTTGCTCTTGTCCCCTTCGTGTTTGATATCGAGTTTTTCCAATTCGTTTCAGTTTAAAGCATTGGGAATATGATCTTTATGTATCCAAACATTGGTGTCATATTCTTCAATCTAATTGATAATTTTGTTGTCATTCTATGATGAGCCAGGCTGGTGGATTGGACACACTCACTCTTGACAGTTTATACGATGAAGGTGCATATAGAGCTTCTCTACAGCCTGTGTACGGTAAACCCGCACCAAATCCATTCGAGGTGCAAGATCCATTTGCGTTGTCAAGTGCCATCGCTCCACCTCCATCGGTTCAAATGGCGCCATTAGCTCAGCAGCAGGCGAATCCGTTTGGTCCATACCAACCTACCTTCCCACAGCAACAGCAACCATTCACAATGGATCCAACAAATCCTTTTGGTGATGCAGGTTTCGGAGCCTTCCCGGCTCCTAACCATCACCCTGTTCATCCGCCTGCAAGCAATCCATTCGGAAGCACAGGCATTCTGTAGAATGTGCGTGGTGCGCTCTCCATCTTGTAATTTAGTCAACAGATTTGGTTTCTTCGTATTTGGTGGGATGTAAAGGGTTGGTTTTCTTGAACGAGCTGCGAAGAATGGTGCGACATTTGTTTTGGTTGGAACTTACAATGAGTGAGTGAGTGAGTGAGTGAGTGAATAGTGCAAGGTGTAATAAGAGTAGTGAATGCAATACATGACTTTCAAGTTTTAGGCTTTGGAATTCTGTGTCCTATTCTTCTGCTTACTACAAGCACGTTTCTCATAGAATTGGGCTGAAATTTTATGCATACGTTATACGTATATAATTCATTCATCTGTTCATCATACTTAAAGATCCTCCCATTTTTCTGCATTTACCTCCCACTAATCTTTCATATGTGTTATAGTTCTTATCTATGAACAACAAATTGAAAAGAACAATAGCAACTTGTGCGTGAAAGATCGAAGGGGAATTTAGGCTTACCTCGACATGGGCATGCTCATTCAGAAGTGTTTGTCTATGGCTGCATGCTCAAACCATCGTGTTTCAACGCCATGTGTTTAGTTTTGTTGTTTACTTTCATTTGTATAGAGTTTTGCAGGCAAGTGATCGTTCGTTCGCCCGGTTTTGACGTTCATACCTGCCATAGTAATTTTTTCCTCGAATGTGTTATAGGGAGTGCAAGTAGCCATCAAATGTTAGCATTCCCTTGCTTTCGTTGTATCTATTGTCTAGACACACATTGAACTCAAAACGGTTTTCTCAAATCAAATGTGACAAGCGGCTAGATGAGACGTATAGCGATAGTTGAAGCAAGTGTTGCACAATTGCTTGACCTTTCCTCCACATTTTTCAGAAGCCTTTGTCTCATCTTGGCATTAGGAATGGAAAACATTTCTTCTGTATTGGCTGAGAAGAGAAGAATCTTTGTTTTTCTCTCCTTTGGGCACAGATTTTGCCCAAAATTAAGGGTAGCCATTAATTACTTGCCATTTTGGATTAGTCAAATATATCATTTTTGGCACCTCAGACTCACATCCTCAACCAACTTTTCCAAATTTAGTTGAAATTTTGTTTAATTGATATCTGTGAATTTTGGGAATTTTACTTTACATGAAACAACTCGTCTTAGATGTCAATTAAATTAGCTACCTTGTTTATTCTCATTTAGGGAAATTGTTTGAAACTTTGGAACTAACTTATTTGTGCTAAAATTTTAATTTATTTGCAGCTAAAAAAATAAATAGACTAATATAGTTTACTGAAAATACAATTTTAAGAAAAGAAAAACTATTTTTTTGAACCTGATTTCCAAGTCAATTCAGGCCAGATTTAAAAAAAAATATAGTTTATAGTTTATCAAATCAGTTTGTCGTTAATTATTTGATTAAAAAAACAACCGAAACCAACCGTTAAAAGTTAGTTAGAGATAAGTGTCAAATACAGTTAAGCAAAATTCATATTATCACATTGTACTATTTCATTATCTTTTTAACTAACTATATTATATTTTGCACTAATTATTAATGATAAATTAATAAGACTCTGCCCATAGATGGAGTGGTAGAAGAAATATGATAGACATCTTCATTCTTTCACCCAAGCAAATACGTTCATAGAAATCTCGGGTTTGAATTGTCATAAATGCCCAAATCTAAGTCAAAGAACATCATTTTAAGGTTTTATTTTCAGGGGAAAAAAATACAAATTTAGTCCCTGAACTTTCATAATTATTTTTAGGTTAAAATACTATTTTGATTCATGGTACTTTTAATTTCGGTTCATCCTGATTCTTGTACTTGAAAATGTTCATCTTGGTCCGTATACAAAACTTTGATTCATTTTAGTGTCATGTCTCAAAATGTTTATTTTGGTCTCTATACTTTTAAAAATGACCATTTTAGTCTCTATTTTCAAACTTTTAACACAAATTCAACATATGATAAAAACCATTTAATATAGAGGTATGGTTATATTTCAATAAATATATTGAGTGTAGTGTCATATTGGAATTATGATAGAAAAATGTGATTAAAAATAAAATTAAAGGACTAAATTGACCACTTTTTAAAAATACAGGGACCAAAACAAAATTTTGAAATTACATGAACTAAAATGAATTGATATTGAAAGGATAGGACTAAAATGAACCAAAACTAAAAATACAAATACCAAAATAGTATTTTAACCTTGTTTTTAATAGGTCTTTGGACTTAAAAAAAATGTTAAATAAGTTCCTAAATATTCACTTTTGTACTTTAAGATGTCTAACATATCACTGAATTTTCAATTTTGTGTCTAATATATGGACCTATTCGATATTAATTAAAATTAATGTTTTAAAAATGAACTTTCAATTGTGTCTAATAAATTCGTAAATGTTTAAAAAATGAAGCCTATGTTAAATATATATTATACACTCTTCAAGGTTCAATAATTTATTAGACTGAAAAAATTTATATAATTTAATCTAAAAGTAAAATAAAAAAATTTAATATAAGTCAAGTGCCCCCACGGTTGCGTACATTTTTAAAGAAGCCGACTTCTCGATTTTCTCGAGATGAATCTACGCGCAAAATCATTAATGTGCGAAAGAAAATAATGTATTTTCCTTTAAAAAATGTAGTTTTTTTTTTTAAAATTAAAAATATGTTCAAAGCTAAATTATTAATAATTTAGCGTTAAATATAAGTTGTAGTCCAAAATATCTAGTGTGTTTTTTTTCTATGGTTTAAATTTTAATTTAATTATTTATGCCAAAACAAGCATAGTTCAGCCGTAATTGATATATACTTCCAACTATGAGAATCGTGAGTTCGATCCCCACCCTCACATACTGTACTAAAAAAATTTAATTATTTATACGGTAATATTTTTTAATTATATTCTTTTTATTAGTGAATGTTAAAATTAGCTGATAATAAATCTGATATGACAATAATATTGTATCTACTGAGTTAACATAAATTTAGAGAGTAATTTAAATCACTGATGGAAGAAAGTTACTAATTCTTCCAAATTAATTTTCTAAGAAGTTGTCATAAATTAATTTAGATTTTTCTTCTTTTTAATGGTCTGATTTCTCCTTAAAATTTTGTCAATTTACTAGTTGTCATGTTAGGTAAGTTTATTATCATTTGATTTGAACATTCACCAATAGAAAAATGTATTATTAAGAATCCATTTCATAACTATTTTAGTTTTTGGTTTTTGGTTTTCTGTTTTTTAAAAACAAAAACCGTATATGTTTGATAACCATTGTTTGTTTTTTGTTTTTAAAAAACAAAAAACCAAAACATGTTTGATAACCATTTTTAGTTTTTTGTTTTTAAAAAGTTAGAAAATTGAAAATACTATTAGAGTGAGAAAATTTTATGTAGAGTATAGTCAACAATGGTGTGAGTGCGAGTGAGAATGCTCTCCCTCATTCTTGGGCTCGTGAAAATTTTTAGTCTCTGTCTCCACCTCGTTCTTTGGTCCGAGAGATGCTCTCGAGAAAAATTATCGGTTTTATAATTGTTTTTAATTATTTTTAGAATTCAAATATAAAAAAGTGTAATAAATATATATTAATTACTTAAAAAATGTAATCGGGGATGAGGGGAGGGTCGGTACATGCATTTTCTATTTTTGGGATTTGACCCTGTGGAAATTTTTGTCTTCCCTCAGGTAAAGACATGAAAATAGAGATGTAAATAAATTTTTGGAAGATAAATTTTAAAGAGATAAATAAAAATATTTTAAAAAAATAGTTAAAGACAAAAAGAGAAAAATTTTGGAGGAAAAAATAAAGTTGAGAGGAAAATATATGTTAAAGAAAAAAATAAATTATAAAGAAAGAGAAAATGTATAGTGAAAACAAATTTAGAGATAAAAACAAGATTCAAAATATAATTTTTATAGTAAATAAATACACAGAAAAATAAAAATTGTAGTGAAAGAAAATTGAACGAGAAAATAAAATATAATTTTTAGAGGAAAAAATAGATTACGAAGAAAATAAAAGTTATAAAATATGAAATTTTAGAGAGAAAAAAGTTAGGAAAAATATTAAATTTGTAGGAAGAGAAATGAAACTAGTATGTTAGAAAAAAAAACAAAAATATAGAAAAATTTGGAGAGAGACAAATAACAATAAATATTCAAGATATGAAATTTTTGAGAGATAAAAATAAAGTTTGAAGAGAGAAATTTAGAAATAAAGAAATAAAGAAATTTTAAAGTGAAAAATAAATTTTTTAGAAAAGAAAAAAAAAAGTTGAGTAGTAGAAGAAAAAATGAGATTTTGAAAAACAGAAACCTGGTTTTGAAAACTACTATTGTTTGTTTTTGAAATTTACATAGAATTTTAAATTGAATTAGTTATCGAACAACCTTACTTTTTAAAAACTAAAAACAAAAAACGAAATGACTATCAAACGGGTTCTAAACGTTTTAAAATGTAAAAAAAAGTTAGAACTTTTTTAAACTATCAAGTTTAAATTGATAAAACATACTTAGAGATTAAATCATATATTTAATTTTAAATTTAGTTATAAACTTGTTAATCTAATCAAGTGTGATGAGAATATTATTATTGTTATTATTATTATTATTTAGTACAGTAAGGTAGAGGATCCAACTCATCAATTTCTTTGGAATTATGCTCACTAGGGTGAAAATATTATTTAAATTAACAATATTAATGATAAAAATTTATTAGAATCAAAATAAAAAAGTGAGAGAAGTATTTCAGGAAAGGACAGAAAAAAAATTAAAAAAAATCCTAATGCAATGGTTTTAAATTCTTACATAATTTTTCTCAAACAATAAGTCAAACTTCTTATTAGCATGCTACTTCATTCAAAAATTGTTATTATTTTATCAAATATTTTTTCATAATTACCTTACTTTTCTATAACATTATTAGGATGTATAAAATTAATAATAAAAAAAGTCCTCCACTACAATCTGAAATTAGTAGCATCACTAGAAATTTGGTCAACTAGAGAAGTTACTATTTTTATTTATTATTTATTATTATTATTATTATTTTGTTGACAAAACTACTAGAGAATGGTATTGTCAATAATTTTATTTTATATTCTTTAACTCTAGGTAATAGTGTACTGTGGTTGATAAATTGGCATATTTTTGGGTTTGACCCATCTACCTCCAAGATTGGTTGCAAAAAAAGAATTATAATTTTGGAGGTTTTTTCTTTTTAATTTATACTATTTTTATTTGGTATCTATAATTAAAAATATAATAGTTGGCTTCTAAAGTTCAAACAAAATTTAGAATGAGAGTTCAATTTTTTAAGAGAATATAGGAAATTTGCTTTCGATGATGATCCTATATTGTG